GGCGATAATGTATGCAGGAAATTACAGTGAATATCGCATTAACAATTTATCACATTCAATCGCGTTTATATTGAAGTTTTTGTACAATTGTTTTCAACTGTTATGTGCACCTGCATAATTTTTACCTATTTTCAGATTTAACTTGCCTACTCAGGGAGCGGGGCCAAGCAACCAGCCCAACAATGACGATCTTTCATATCTATATATATAAACTATATATCTATATAAACTATAAGCTAAAAAAACTGCGCTGCAACTTCTCCACGCGACAAAATTTCTTCTCGCTTCGAATCACCGACATGTGGAACAGCCTCCCCGATGACATCGTTGGCGCTCCAAGTATGAACGCGTTCAAGAACAGACTAGATAAAGCTATGGAAAAATATATGTTCAATATCGAACCCGGTGGAAGTCTAGTAGCTACTTCAAACTATCGTCAGTCATGAAAAGATCCGGTCAAATGACACGAGTTTAGATCTTCTGTGAACAAGGCACGAAAAGGAAAAGAATCGGCGACAGGCCACATCAGGCCTACACTTCAGCGCCGACATCACTATGTTATGTTATCTCCATGACCATCACTATGTCATCTTCAAGAAACATCGACATAAGAACAAGAAAGAAGCTAACCGTTTAGAGGACACTGTAACATTTGCTGTGATCAGACTCGGCATGTCAATTCCAAGGTGAATAAAATACAATTAAAATACTCTACTCTATTCAATAAAAATATTCATTTAATTAAGTGCGTCAGCATGTCATCTCGAGCTCTACATCTACGACATAACTTAACTCGGAACACGCGAGCCCTGGAGAATAAAAAAAGACCTAACTGAAAAACTTATGTTTTTTTGGAAGTGATTAACCGAAAATTCAAGCAGCGGCGGTATGAACCTAAGCAGGAACGAAGGTCAATTCATTAGATAGAATAGAATAGAATAGAATAGAATAGAATAGAATAGAATAGAATAGAATAGAAGTGTCGGCACTGAAGAAATAGGCCCATGGCCTGTTGCCGATTCTTGTTCATAGAATATAATAGAAGTGTCGGCACTGAAGAAATAGGCCCATGGCCTGTTGCCGATTCTTGAATTTTTCGTGACTTGATTCACAAGGGACCCGGCCTTTGGAACCCGATCTTTCCATAGCTGACGATTGATTAGATTAGATTGAAGAAAGTTGATTAATTAGATGGATTAGATTGAAGTTGATTGATTAGATGGAAAGAATAAAATTACAAAAATTGCAGGGTCGACGCTGAAAAATATCCCTCCTTTATTTCCAACACAGAAAAAATTCGATTTTTCAGAAACGTTACCACGGAAGTTTCGTTCAATTAAACGCAAATAAAGTAATGTGACAGTTCAGAGTACAATTTCTAAACACAAAAGCAAGTTAACTAATCACTTAAATCATCATTTAAATAGTTTCATGTTCAAATTTAAAACGTAGCGATAGTGCTAAGTTTCATTTGATAAGAACCAGCAAGTTGACAGCGTCAATCGAGTTAAAAATCACAAAACTTGTACATGATTTTTTTTAAGTAAAGATATCATATTCATTTGAAACAATCTTGTTTTTGTACATTTTAATGGTACAAAGATGGAAAAGAAAAAAAGGATACACATAATGGAAAATAAGATTCATTCGTGCCACCTAAAAAAAATTTATATCTTAAAGTTTTAGTAAAGTAAAGTTAAAGTAGCAAAAATTTACATCTTAAAGTAAACCCTGCAACACGTTATTGTTAAGAGATTTCTACCGAGGCAAAAAAATAACACAAATTAATATGGTTAAGACAGAGATTGCCAGGTCTCGAGTCAGAGAATAGTGACAGAGAATAGTGCAGATGGATAGTGACAGAGAATAGTGACAGAGAATAGTGACAGAGAATAGTGCAGATCTCAGAGACGATTCATTATTAAGATATGGTATACCTGGTATATGGTACGTGTATATGGTATAAGATATGGTATACCTGGTATATGGTATAAGATATGGTATACAATGAAAGTTTGGACGGCAGATACGTAATATCTCGGAAGACCAGCCTTAATTTTTAGTTGAATTAGAAGAAAAAAAAACTTCACTGAAACGAAGCTACGAAAAATTGAACGAAATTACATGAATCGTTCGAGACATGTTATACTGAGAGACGGATTTGAACTATAAACCAAACTCAATTTCTTTGAACTATAAGTCACCAAACTCAATTTCTCTTTTTTTTGAAGCCGTAGCCATAGGCTCAAAATTTCTAAACATGAAAGATAATTTGCAACGTAGCAACTAGAAATCATCTGACTATTGTTTCGTTGCTACGAAATGACGTTACTTGGGCACAGAAAAGTTAATCATATTAATATAATAATATTAATATATTGATATATGATAATATATATATTATAATATATATAATATTAATATTAATCACAGAACTTAAGTAAGACAAGTTAAGTTGCAAATCTGGCACTAGAGTTTGAGGAAGTCTTGTAAAACTAACGCAATTATAGTTCAGGCTATTAGTTGAAATATGTCACGAGTGAAATTGTTATAAATGATATACATTATAATATGAATTGAACAATATATATAATAATATATAGTATATATAGTATAGTATATAATATATAAATGATATACATTATAATATGAATTGAACAATAAACACACACATTGAAGCATTGTTAAGGCAAGAATTGGGTTTACATTTCGATATTTAAGAAAATTTTTACAACGTCCGCATGTTACAACGTCCGCATGTTACAACGTCCGCATGTTACAACGTCTACCAAACTCAATTTCTTTGAACTATAAATCACCAAACTCAATTTCTTTGAACTATAAACCAAACTCAATTTTTCTCTTTTTTTTTTTTGAAGCCGTAGCTATAGTCTCAAAATTTCTAAACATGAAAGATAATTTGCAACGTAGCAACTAGAAATGATCTGACTATTGTTTCGTTGCTACGAAATTACGTTACTTTGGCACAGAAAAGTTAATCATATTAATATAATAATATTAATATATTGATATATAATAATATATATTATAACATATATAATATTAATATTAATCACAGAACTTAAGTTAAGTAAGACAAGTCTGGCACTAGAGTTTGAGGAAGTCTTCTAAAACTGACGCAAATATAGTTCAGGCTATTAGTTGATATACGCTCACGAATGAAATTGTTATAAATAATATACATTATAATATGAATTGAACAACATACACACACATTGAAGCATTGTTAAGGCAAGAATTGTGTGTACATTTCGATATATAAGAAAATTTTAGCCCCTATTAATTCACGAATGTCCCATCTACTAACACTTGAAAAAATTCTCGGGATTCCATTGTAATTGTGTTAGATAGCTACGAAGTAAGTTCTCTTACATGTACAGCTATACTTCCATGAGTATACAGCTAAACTATCATACGTGTAGCTATACAGCGTATGACACGAGTATACAGCTATACTTGTCATGCATGTAGCTATACAGCGTATGACACGAGTATACAGCTTGTCATACGTGTAGCTATACAGCGTATGACATGAGTATACAGCTATACTATCATACGTGTAGCTATACAGCGTATGACACGAGTATACAGCTATACTATCATACGTGTAGCTATACAGCGTATGACATGAGTATACAGCTATACTTCTGAGTATACAGTCACACAACCAGAAATATAAAGCTACACATTTTTTATGGAAGCTCAAGCTCTTAAGACCATGAACCAGGGGCTCCATGACAGCCTCCTGCTAGGGAACATCGTGGCCGAAGTCCAGCCTTACTGAACCGTTGTCCGCATGTCACAACGTCCGCATGTTACAACATGTCTCTTAAAAATACCGTATGAAATAACAATTCATTATGACTTATACGAAGGAAGTTAAGACAGTTTAATTGATAGGAAATATGTAGTAAACATGTGAGAGAAAACCTATGATTTTGATGAGAGGAACGATTTTTGATGACGATTTTTTTTTCAAAAATAGACCTTTAAAAAAAAGGTTTAAAAAGGGAGAAAACCTTTGATTTTGATGAGTTTCTACGAAGACCTTAGTTGACATGCAGCACGAGGGGGTCGTCGTGGTCCAGTCTCTGAGAGGGGAATCTCCAGTCTCTGTGAGGGTAATCTCCAGTCTCTGAGAGGGGAATCTCCAGTCTCTGTGAGGGGAATCTCCAGTCTCTGTGAGGGGAATCTCCAGTCTCTGTGAGGGGAATCTCCAGTCTCTGTGAGGGGAACTTCAGCGCCTGAGGGGAGCCTGGACCAGCTCTTCTTCAGCGCCTGAGGGGAGCCTGGACCAGCTCTTCTTCAGTGCCTGAGGGGAGCCTGAACCAGCCCTTCTTCAGCGCCTGAGGGGAGCCTGAAAATATATAGTATACATAGAAGCCTGGACATATATAGTATACATAGAAGTAGACAGCTATACTTGTCATACATATAGCTATACAGCGTATGACACGAGAATACAGCTATACTTCTATGAGTATACAGCTATACTTGTCATACGTATAGCTATACGAATAAAAAATAATTTCAATGAAATACATAAGCTTCATGCATATATGAAAAACTAGGACTTACATTTCAAGTAAAAGCAATGGGTACGATGAAAACATGAAGTGCAACCAACAGATGCTTTATGATATAAATACATATGATAAATTACGATTAGGTTGCTTTTGTGAAATATTTGTGAAATATTTTGAAATAAATTAAGTTGCTTTTGTTTCTCATGAACAAGAGGCACAGGCAGGAGGAACCATGAGTGTCCATAGCGCCAGACATGATGTAGCAGACTCAGCATGCAGACGCCGCAGCCAGCCGCACAACACCACCAGTAGAAACTCACCTTGGCAATGCTCTCCAGCTCACTGAAACCATATTTTCATGCTTAATACATAAAATTACTGCAAAAAAAGCCAAATTATCCAGATAAAAAAGCAGTCAATGGCAAACATTTTTTCAAAGAAATTTTGCCGAATGGAGCCTGGACCAGCTCTTCTTCAGCGCCTGAGGGGAGCCTGGACATATATAGTACAGGTATACATAGAAGTATACAGCTCTACTCCTATGAGTATATAGCTATACTTGTCATATGTATAGCTATACAGCATATGACATGAGTACCTATACAGCTATAGTTCTATGAGTATACAGCCATATTGTTTGTCATACGTATAGCTATATGAATAAAAAATAATTTCAATGAAATACGTAAGCATCACACATATATGAAAAACTAGGACTTACATTTCAAGTAAAAGCAATGGGTATGATGAAAACATGAAGTGCAATCAACAGATGCTTTACGATATAAATACATACGATAAATTACGATTAGGTTGCTTTTGTGAAATATTTGTGAAATATTTTGAAATAAATTAAGTGCACAGGCAGGAGGAACCATGAGTGTCCATAGCGCCAGACATGATGTAGCAGACTCAGCATGCAGACACCGCAGCCAGTCGCACAACACCACCAGTAGAAACTCACCTTGGCGCTATGGAGTTTCTATAGTTTCTATATATATAATATCCTTCTGCTCCACTGTATTTTGAGTTTATATTAGTGGATTATTTCCTGGCAGCGGATTAGTATATTACAGCTGGTTAACCTCCAAAAGCAGCTTTGTGTATGAATAACAACAGTTAATATACAAATATATATCCAACAACAATATATTAATAATATCCAACAACTTTTAATATATATCCAAATACCTATTAACCATGTTCATCATTTTCTTCCTGGCATCAGGATCCATCCAGCAGTTTACCTTCCTCTGAACGCTAACATTCGTCCGCTCTCTATCTCACTGAAACCATATTTCCATGCTTAATACATAAAATTACTGCAAAAAAAGCCAAATTATCCAGATAAAAAANTGAATTTTAGCTTACAATCACAATGATAAAAAGTGGATGCAACTATTTCCTTTCATTAGAGTTAACACAACCACTTAATTGTATCTATAATATTTAATAATGTACATAAAACTTACAGACCAGTCATGAGTACAGCAATGATGACAAAATCAACAGAACCCCAGAAAAGAGCAGAAGATGATAACTTGGATGCAGACTTGTGAGCCAAAGCCTGCCAGACAATGCTGTCCTGGCCATAAGAGCCATCATAATTAGAACATTAATGGTAAATTATTGCAAGTATTAATTGAGTGAATTGGGTTTCGCAATAAGGTACTTAGAGCTTAAATTTAAGATATTTCGTGGCCAACTTAAATATTCCAGTGGTTTACAACGATTTCAATTGAAAAAATATACTTTAAGTTACGTGGCATTCGAATGTAATGTAGCCTGGTAGTTTGATTAAATTAGGACGCCCACACCCCCAGATATTGTTGTCAAACTCCTATCCATTACAATTCTGAAAAAAAAGAGTATTTAATCAACTTATATAAATAAACAACTTCTCAATTTGAAATAAAAATGTATAAATTATCTTATAGCTATATTATTAAAGCTCATACATTGATAAAGACTGTAAAGTTTGGCACAACATATATTGAGGACACTGTAGCAGGTGTCTCCATAAATTGCAATTTACAATCAATATAGCAATGCATGATGATAGGCCAAGATATATGTGCATTACGATCAATATGGATAATGCATGATGATTGGCACAGACTTACATGCATTAGGATTGCTACAAGTGACAGATACAAGCAATCAAAACAAGCAAGAGATCAATGCTGTTGATTGTTGATTGTTGTTTTGATGATTGATCAATGGCACTGTTGATCAATCTTGTGGCGACAGAAGCTCGCTGCCACTCACGCTGCCACTCACGCTGCCACTCACGCTGCCACTCACGCTGCCACTCACGCTTGGCAGCACAGCCCGCATGCTGATCACCACGCCTGCCATGAACCACAGGTAAATTCACCACCAACTTCACTTACTTGTAAAGACCAGACAAAATTTTGGATGGGTTAACCCACATTCAAATTTATCAACTTAAAAAATCAAACAATGCCCTGAACCTGCTACGAAACATAGGTCAACTCGCCACCGAATTTGCGCGCTAAGACCAGACAAAATTTGGATGGATTAACCATCCTAGAAATTTATCAACTCAAGAAATCAGAAAATTCTTTGAATAGAGAATATGAGCACTAAATGAATTACAGCTACTCTGTCATAACCATACACTCAAATGGAGTATAAAAATAACTAATAATTGAGGCGAAATTTTTGCATCACTAACCATTTTATGATAAGAGCTATTAAAATTGTGAATTCCTAGATATTTATCATCAGTGAGAGAAAAGACTAATACTACGTATATCAAAAACCAATAGCCATAGGTACCAAGTTTATCGCGAATTTAAGAGCAAAGAAAACAACCAAAAAATTTACTTTTTTCACAGGAACATTCTCACAAATAATTAAGATAAATTTTACTGCCAGTTTTCTTGCTAATATATACGTAGTTAATTTCAGTTGTAAGCACTGAAATGATATTGATCATAATATCATTTAATAATGAATTGTTATAGATATAGAACTATTATAGAATTATATATATAATTTAATGTAATTATTAAAGACAATAACCGAGCAGCATGATGAGCCAACCCAGTTGAACAGGAATGCAGTTCATTCTTTAGACAGTACTTTTGTGTATCAAAATCTTGAAGCCATGATTCAGTCAATAAATTTATTGATTGAAATAATGAAATGAAAGACAATTTCATTATTTCAAACAAAACACAATACAATACAATACACAAATCAATACAATACACAATACAATTTCAAACAATATGAGTGACAAAACAAATACAAAACAATTGGACAACAAGAGGTTACTAAAAATAAGCAGCAAGAAGTAAAATTTGAATTATTGTGTCCTTTACATCAAGTGGTGAAGAAAAAGTGGATTACTTTACAGTGTGAGGAGGCATGAGAATGTGGTCCGATTCCAGTTGAGCCTCCACAGCTTTGATGCGCTGCACTTCCTCATACGAAGGGGGTTCTAGCCTCTAGGCCTGCTAGATCTCCACCCAATCCAGCTCCTGGCCAAAACATTCAATAATAATTAAAATGAAACAATGCTAAGAAATAAAAAATTCTCACTAGTCAAAAAACAGGAAGTTCTCATGAAATAAAGAATTTTTTTACAAGTGAACACTCATTGAATGTTTCAATGAAAATATCTTTATAAACTGCAAAAGAGTGACCTTGTTTCATATCTAAACTAAAGGGTGTCAAATTTTTGTATTCCTGCCAGGGTTTTGTCAAACATATGTATGTCTCCAGTTAAAGTATCTGGAGTATTCAACACCTCTAACATAAAAAGTGTTTTTCCATTGAACAATCTTTCAAATAATATTGCTCACATGCAACAATCTCAATCTGTATGATGCATTCTTATCAATCTCTGAATTTCCATTAATCAAATTAGAAGTGATAGCTAAGAAGACACATCATTGGTGTGGACAATATTATTTGTAAATCTGTAAAGTAGATCTAAAAATATAAAAACATTACATTTTTTATAAATACCTGAAAGGCTGATGTTGCACATGGGTCCATCAATGGCCACAATTGTCGAGTGGCCGTCACTACATTCACTGTAGTGAATGTAGTGACTACATTCACTGTATGGTGGAGGTGCTGACATGTCAACTTTGGGGGGTCCCAACTCCTCTATTGAATACATAGAAGTTTACTTTCAATGGCAGTAAAATTTGACCAATTCTCATTGAACATTTTTACAGTTGTACAAAAAAATGGCAGGATCAACTTTATAAAAAAATACATATATGTACATATAAATATATTTATTTACAATTAAATGTGCAATGCATGCTAGTAGTGCTCATCACATACAATTAGAGAATAGTATTGCTGTAAATAATTTGTGAAACAAGTTTATATAATAGATGAATTGATTATTATATTATACAAGAAAAATACCTACAACAAAAATTCTTCTTATGACAATGTATTGAAAAATGTACTATGATTAGTCCCTGAGATATGGTAGGTAAAGAAATGTACACGAAATAAATTTCATTTTTTTACACATGTATTTTTCCTATGAGTATAGGTACAGCTATACTTGTCATATGTACAGTTATACAGCGTATGACACGAGTATACAGCTATACTTGTCATACATATAGCTATATGAATAAAAAATAAAATAAATAATAAAAATTAATAAATTGAAATAAATAATAATTTCAAGTGAAAGCAATGGGGTACGATGAAAACAAAGTGCGATCAACAAATTTTTTATGATATAAATACATATCTGTCCCTTATTACCCCTCCTCTCCCTTATTACCCCTCCTGTCCCTTATTACCCCTCCTGTCCCTTATAACCCCTCCTGTCCCTTATTACCCCTCCTGTCCCTTATTACCCCTCCTGTCCCTTATTACCCCTCCTGTCCCATATTACCCCATTTGACGGTAGTGTTGAGAGAAATGCTATCACTGTAAAAAAATTACAAACAGTAAAGATCATCAAAAATTCGCAGAAGTTAGACCTGACAGTTGAATTTGAACTATCGCTCTCCCCCGTTTTCTTCACTATTGTTTAGTCAAATAGAAATTTTCCTCTTATGTTGTATGATGTAAATATATTACCTTAATAGCAACTATAGTTAACTCACACACTGTTAGAAAAATTACCGTTAACAATATTACCGGCGTTTCATTGGCCGGTCGGCACAAGAAAAGAAACACCGTTTCACCATTTTTATTCTAATTTAACACCAGAAATCCATAAAACATTTGATAAAATGGCGAAACAGTTTATTTTTACAGGGCGACCGGCCACTAGAACGCCAGTGGGACCGTTTTTTCACCGTTTTTTCTAACAGTGTATGATAACCATGAATGGCTTGATTAACATGGCTACTGACATACAGCCTGAGCTGATATGCTGCTACATTCATGCAACTTACCTGCTTCAAGCATCAGTTGTTCAGTAACATTCAAATATTTCATAATATGAACTGTCCATTGAGTGCAGGTCTCAAGTCAAACTCTTCAATGCTTTCACCACTGCACCATGATCACTCAAAATTCTGAAAAAGAATATTTGTAATTAAATTTTAACTAAAAGAACTTTCTATCAAGTAAAATGTAAAAAAAAAATCACCAGAAATGTTTTCAATGACAGCTTGAAACATAATCTTACCTCCTTGTAATCAATCTTGTAAGTCAATAAATCCCATAGCTTCCAGACTAGAACTTTCTCTTCCATAAACTTATTTTTATTAACCTTGTAATTTACCAACCTTATATAAAATTGCTGTTTGTAGTCTTCAGAAGAGGCTAACAAGCCTATAACACATGAAATGATAGTTGCTAGTAGAAGAATTAACTAGAAAAAGTAAGACAAATGCAGTAGAATCAGTAAGAAAAGACAAAGCCGTAGTTACACTAAAATGCATTGATAGAATGTTATAGGAGGTCCAACGTAAGGTGCTAAATACAATAATTCAAGTGAAAAGGCAAATTTTGATCCAGTAAGTAATGTGGCAGTCAGGTCAGCAATGAAGCCTATGACAATTGAGGTGCAAATAAAGGGCTTTAGAGGTATGCTAAACCAAAAAAGTGATACAACATACATCAATATGATTTTAGTACCTTTAAAATCCATGCTTTTGGAACTGTAACTGAAAATAACAGCAAGTTAGAGCAGACATTGCAATTTTCCCAGAAAACCACTACAGGGGTGAACCTAATCTAAAGTTTTCCCTACACTAATAAAGAAAAACTTCTTATATTGTAACAAATTTTTAAAACCTGATCATTGATGCTAAAAAATTCTAACAGAATTGAAAAAGGCATTACTTTCAAACCCAAACTATATCAATTAGTAATGGCATCAGAAAAGGTAATTGGGAAAATTGAAGTCTTATTCATAATTTAGTTTAGAATTGATACTTTGAGGTCATTTATTAATAATTTGATCATTCGACCAAAATATGACACCAATGTTCTAGCAGGACAGAGAGGCAAGTTAGGAATTGCTGTGGTTGCTCACAACATCAAAAATACACCACACTGTTAGAATAAATATAACTCAGTACTCACTGCAGTGAGTGACAGAGAGCGCATTTTCTCGTCGACGAAAACTTGAGGTCACGGACGGACGGACAGACACACAGACGGACATGGCGAGCACAATAGTGCATTTTTCCATAAATGAGAAAATGCGCTAAACAGGCCAAAAAACGATCCCACTGGCATTCTAGTGGCCGGTCGCCCCGTGAAAATAAACTGTTTTGCCGTTTTTATAAGATGTTTTACGGATTTCTAGTGTTAAATTAGAATAAAAACGGCGACACGGTGTTTCTTTTCACGTGCCGACCGGCCACTGAAACGCCGGTAATACCGTTAACGGTCATTTTTTTAACAGTGCACATGTTCATTGACATGTTCTTTCTAGACTCACAAATTGCTTTTACTCCTGCTGGGGAGAACAATGCTGGCAGAGGCAGACTCCCTGCCATGCTTCACCTTCAGGATGATGCAGTCTTGGGCAATACGAAACCTTCTTGCTATCTCATCTTTAGTAATCTGAAATTCAAATGATAATCAAAAGATGAAGATTCTAAGGAAAAACATTAGTTAAAACATTATTGTTATACTCTAAAAAAGAACAAATTGAAATTAATTACAGTCATTGTGACTGTAGATAAAAAATAAGTTGCATTAGTTGATTTATGAAAAACAATCCAATCATGAACTACCTGTTGAATAATAGTTATCTATAGGCAAGTCAGATGTAGACATTGGGACAAAATACTATATAATTTAATACAATATAATAATTATATAGGTAATATATATAATTATATAATATTTAATACTATAGTCATCAACACAAATAAAAT